CATCTAGAATCTAGATGTGGTAGGGGAGTTTTGTCCTTGATATTAACAAATATACACAGGGTATATTTTGCATTTTTGTACATTTCACCTTAGGAGTTGATGGAAAGATATTACAGTGGGTAAGGATCTTGCATCGTATACTACTAATCCTGGCTCCCTTGCTGAACTGCATCCCTGAGCACTGCCAGGGGTCACTCCTGAACCCAAAACCTGGAATCGCCCCTGAGCTTCTTGATATGGCCTAACCGCACTCCTCCCACCAAGGAAATTGAAATAAAATTTAAACTTTGCCCACAGTTCTGACTTTTGCAGACTCAGGTGGAGGCTTAAGTTTGGTTTCTTTCTTAGAAAAATGTATTATTTCTTAAAATATTTATTACCTGGAAGAACTTTTCTTCTCATATACTTCTTACATAGGTAGTTGAGAGTTTTAGAATGTGATGTGCTGAGTGAATGAGGAAAAAGATTAAATCAATAATTTTATCAGTAATCTGAATATTATGTCTCATTGAGCGCAAACCCTTAAGATGAGTCTCTCCCTTCCCCACCCCCATCCCCAAAGAGGTTCTGAAAAATAGTACAGATAAGGCATGAAGCCAGCTTTGGTTCTGTCCCTGCTACTCTATATTGTCCTGTCACTAACAGGAGTAGCTTCTAAATGTCACATTACTGGGTGTGGCCCCAGAATGGTTTAAAAAAAAGTATGAAGCACAATGCCATGTTTCTATTAGGTGGAACAAGAAGAGAACAAAATTACTAAATGGGGGTTGGGGATGGGGTTAGCAATGTGTCAACCCTTTTTCTATCCCCTGGACTTTATCAAATACAGCTCTGGAGGCCCCTGAGAACTGCCTGCTGTGGCCCTGAAGGCAGGACCCAAAGAGCAAAGCATCCTTATACCATAGCAGTGGACCACCAGCCAGTTGACTGGATATCAAACGGAGTTCCCTTGCTGTAGTAACCTCCCCTGCTGCCACCCCCATCCCCTCCAAAAAAAAAATCATGCTTGTTATAGATATGCTCTTGGATTCTGGAAGAGGTATGGTGGTAAAGGATGTAAGGACTGAAGCCAGTAAGGTGTTTAAATTGGATCATTGCCATTTGTGCATTATGGGGAAAAGGTATAAAAAATTCGGACTGGAGTGATAGTACAGTGAGTAGGGCATTTACCTTGCACACGGCCAATCTGGGTTCAGTCCCCGGCATCCCATAGGGTGTCCCAAGCACCGCCAGGAGTAATTCCTGAGTGCCAGAGCCAGGAGTAACCCCTAAACATCCGCTGGGTGTTACCCCAAAAAAGCCAGAAACATTAAAAAGCCACCCTAAGGGTACTGGGAGAGAGTGAGCTTAGGACACCTCAAATGTGCATGTGCTTCACTTTGAGCTTCTCAGTGGCCCAAGAGAAAAGTGTTGTTTAGTAATGGATTTGTTATTTAAGAATAGCCTTCATTTTTTTCTAGTAGTTACAGATCTTTTATTCTTTTTTTCTTTTTTTTTTTTAAATTTCTATTAGTGAAACACCATGAGGTACAGTTGTAGACTTACAAATTTTTGTGCTTGGGTTTCAGTTATACAATGATTGAGTACCCATCCCTCCACTAATGCCCATTCTCCACCATCACTAATCTCCACCATCACTAATCCCAGTATCCCTCCCACTCCCCATCCTCCCATCCCACCCTGCCTCTGTGGCAGGGCACTCCCTTTTGTTCTCTCTCTCCTACAAATGAGGAATTGAGTGGCAGTCATGTTTGGTCTATAGTCCACTTTCAGCATGCACCTCCCATCTTGGGCGGATCTTTCCAATACCCTTTATTTGGTGCTCCCTTCTCTATCTGAGCTGCCTTTCCCCATAGAGTGTGCGGCTGGCCTCCAAGCCATGGAGTAAACCTCCTGCTATTTATCTTGAAGAATAGCCTTCATTTTAAAGAATAGTATGTTGGCATGGTTTTATTTCATGTACACGAGCGATAGCACAGTGGTAGGGCGTTTGCCTTGCAAGCCGCTGGCCCAGCTGAGCCAGGTTCAATTCCTCCGCCCCTCTCAGAGAGCCTAGCAAGCTACTGAGAGTATCTCACCCGCAAGGCAAAGCCTGGCAAGCTACCCGTGACGTATGCCAAACACAGTAACAAAAGTCTCATAGTGGAGATGTTACTGGGCCTGCTTGAGCAGATCGATGAACAACAGGAAGACAGTGCTACAGTGCTACACATTTAATACCTAAGTAACTAGAAAGAATGGTATTTCAACCAGAGTTGGCATTCAGTACGAATTCCCATGACTTCATAGGTTCTGTTTCCTAAACTGAGTAACGGGGGTGGGAGTGAGTGTTACACTGGAACTAGGCTGTAGTAACCTTGGGATTAATGAAGGAATCATCCTTGAAGGGGTGTTTCTGTTTGTTCACATAAAGAAGGTAGATTACAAGATGAATTCTAAGTAATTTTGTATCTGTGGATAGGGTAGTAGGCCAAAAAAGTTTGGTAGTCTCTGTATTAAGTGAATATAAAAATTAAAATATAACATTTTAGCACCTTAAGACTGAAATAGGTTGCCATTAAACTACTAAACTTGAGAAGATGTAATTTTTTGTGGGATAAGTTTGGCTTGATGGGTGGTGAGGAGGTGGGAGGGAGGGGTTGTGCAGCAGGAGCTGCATTTGTATTGCTGCTGCAGTGGGGCGGGGGGTGTTCTCCCACATTCAAAGCATGCTTTTCATCCTTGAAAGTATCCCTATTTATTTTTCTTTGTGGGGGGAGGGATGGTGGCCCACACCCAGTGGTGCTCAGGGCTTACTCCTGACTCTGCTCAGGGATCAATCCCGTAGGGGCTCATGGGATAGATATATGGGGTGTTGGAAATCAAGCCAGACTTGGCTGCATGCATGACAAATGCTTTTTCTGTTGTACTGTCTCTCCAGTCCTTGAAGGTTAATCTAAAAGAAATACAAGTTGCTTTACCCAAATAAAGCAACTATTATGTTTTATATGAGCCTAATTTAGTTTGTGATCTTAGTTGTTAGGGTAATGTATAAATCTGTTACATAAGTTACTAATGCAGTTATGTGGTAAACTTCAAATGTCTCAGTGGGGGTCAAACTATGTTGTAAAAATTATTCCTGGATTTAAAACAGAACTGGAAATATTTATAAACTAAATTTATGCTTTGTTTTTGGGGTTACACCCAGCTGTGACTTCTGGCCTTGTGCTCAGGGATCACTGATGGTGGGGCTCAGGGTACCATATGGGCTGCCAGAGATTAAACCCAGGTTGGCCACATGCAAGGCAAGCACCCTACCTGCTATACTATCGCTCCAGCTACCACTAAGTTTATCCCCCCACCTTTTTTTAAATTTTTATTAGTGAAGCACCATGAGGGACAGTTGTAGACTTAAAAATTTTTGTGCTTGGGTTTCAGTTATACAATGATTGAGTACCCATCCCTCCACCAGTGCCCATTCTCCACCACCTATGATCCCAGTATCCCTCCCACCTCCTCATCCCCTGCTCCCTAGCCTCTGTGGCGGGGCATTTCCTTTTGTTCTTTCCTTTTGGGTGCTGTGGTTTGCAAAAGAGGCATTGAGTAGCAATCACGTTTGGTCAACTTTATGCTTTAAAAGTGCTTAATGATTTTGTTTGATTATTGTATGACTGAGACTTAAACCTGAAAGCTTTGTAACTTCCCACAGTGATTCAATAAATAAATATAAGGAAAAAATAAATAAAATTATGAAAAAAAAATAAGATGGGAGTTCATGCCCAGTTCAATCAGCTAATCAGTGGCTGAATAAATACCAGTACTCCTACATAAAAAAAAAGTGCTTAATGGGGCCAGAAAAAGCCATGAACATAGCTGGGTGTGACCCTTCAACCCCCAGAACCCCGCCTCCCAAGTCGTGTTATAAAGGGGTTGTCTTTGACTTAATTTACATTTATCTTGGTTTCCTTTCTAGACAAATGTGTTGTCAACCATATTATATATCAGTTGTATCTGCTAAAATTGAAGATGTCATGAGTAGAATTAACAAAATATGGAGCAATATATTTGTAACATGAATTTATTGCTGGTAGACTAATGGAAATTACAGTGTGGATGCCAAGGATTACTGTGTAATTTCCATTACAAAAATAATGTGACTTAGCACACTAGGTTGGGTAATTCAGAAACATGGCTTAAGGGTTAAAAGGAAGCTCAGTTAAATTTTTTTTTTGTTTGGTGGGGAAGGAGGCACATGCTATAGTGCTCAAGTGCCACTCCTAAGAGACTATCTAGACCGCCAGGGTTCCTACATGCAAAATATTTGCTCCAGCCCTTTGAGCTATCCTCCACAGTCCTCTATTAAATGCTTTTCATAGAGACAGTTGGCCCATATCTAAGTTACATAAAATTAACCTTCATAAAGTAATGTTTATAAAGTATCACTACAAGTTTCTTATGTCATTATCTTTAGAAATAGCATGCTTTTATGAGCTTAATGTTTTTTAAAATTGGGCCACAGCTGGCGGTTCTCAAGGCTTACTCCTGGCTCTGCGCTTAGGGGGACCATGTGGATGCCAAGGATCAGACTTGGGTCAGCTGTGTATAAAGCAAGCACCCTACCCACTGTACTATCGCTCTGACCCCTAAAATGTATGCTTTGTTTTTAATTTTTTTTGGAGGAGGGGATCACATCTGGCCACCAGGGAACTGTACAGGATGCTGGGGACTGAACCTGGATTAGCCACCTGCAGGGCAAATGTCTTACCTGTTATCCTACCTCTCCAGTCCCTAAAATGCATGTCTGAAGTTCTGGACTCTTTCACATTTCTCCTGCAAATGGTATTACTGAGAATTAAGTAGAACTTCTTTGAAGGCTGGAGTGATAGTACAGTGTACAGTGGGCAAGGAGCTTGCCTTGCACATGGCCAACCCAGGTCTGATACATGGTCCCCAACTTCCTCAGAAGTGGTCCAGCCCTGAGCATCGCTGAGTGTGGCCACAAAACACAAAATAAGATTAGATTTTTCTTTTTCAGATTAGGTTTATTATCCCATTTGACAGTGGATGTAAACAGTTCCTTTTATAAAACTTATCACTACTCAAAAACATCTGAGGATTGGGAAGTAGTCTTTATAAAGTATTTGTCAAATGATGGGGCTTGAAGGAATTTTTTTCCCCAATATATGGTTAGGCCACAGAAAAGGTATGCATATAAACTAGAACTCCAATGCAAAGTGAAACAATACACAGTGAATTACGGATCTTCAAATGAAAGGAAGCACATGCTTGGCCAAGTTGAGGTCAACAAAGACTTTAAGGACTAGACAGGATTAACAATGAGAGGAAGATAAGTGGAATTTTTTTAATAGTATTTATTATATGCCATATCTCAGTCTTCAACACTTGTTTAACATGGTTGACCTCTACAAGCAGTAAAGCAATTAGAGCAACACTGGTTTATTGAATGAAAAATGTACATGCTAAAGCAATTTTGGGATTTCAAATAAAGAATTTTCATTTGGGGAAAGAGGCATACAGTTTAATGTACTCAACTATCAAATTTTACAACAATGAGTAAGGTTAAACATGTCTTGCAAATTGACATTTCTATTTGTAACACTTCAGTGTTATTTCAGTTTATTCTCTATGTATTGATGAAAGAATATCAATAATTCAAATACTTAGGACTGAAACTCTAGGTAGGCCTCGAACATTATAGTATTTTGCATTTATATTATTAAAAAGTGTAGACCAAACAAACTCTCCAGAGTTTAATTTTAGCACAATTTGAAAATTGAATTATAAAGGGCAGATATTATGCCTGTAGTAATTAAATTCTTAGCTTAAATGTTACTCTTGGTTAATACAGGTAGTTTGCGTAAATAATTTCACTTCCCATTTTGTGTTTATAAAAATAAAATGGTTCTTAATATTCCTAAATTTTTCTCAAAAAAAGTCATTCAGTTACGTGGCACAAATCATATTACGTAGAAGATACAACAAATTCAGTGTTTGGTAAGTTATCAAAGTACAGAATTGAAGTAACCAGTCATAAGAGGTAGAATACTTTAATCACAGTTTATAGAAAAGATGCAGTAGTTTTTATCTGTACAGTTTTATTAGAGTCTCGTAAGTTTGCTTCTCTGCGTTAGGTAAGGACTACTTTCTGAACGTTTAAAAAAAGCATTTTCTCTGCAAACGAAAGTAGCTGATAATGGCATTTACCTCAGTTTTGACCTGTTTTCCCAAGGTTATAAGATGGAGGGAAATACCTTTTTTTTTTAACCTTTCTGAGTATAAATTAGAAATGAAATCATTCTATCTTGATAATATTCCTCAGTGAGAATTCTAGCAGAATTTTATACTCAAACTTGTAAGCTGATTTTTTTTTTTCTTTTTGGCTTTTTGGGTAACACCTGGTTATGCTCAGGTTTTAGTTCTGTCTCTGCACTCAGGAATCACTCCTGGTGGTGAGCAGGGGCCCATATGGGATGCCAGAGATTGAGCCTAGGTTGGCCGTGTGCAAGAGAAATGCCCTACCCGCTCTACTATCACTCTGGCCCTGTAAATTGATTGTTTCTAACTCATCTGACAGTAACCTAAAAAAATCGATTTGTAATAGCAAAATACTATTACTTGAAGCAAAACTCCACAAACTCCAATAAACTAGGAAGACTGATACTCTATAGAGCTATTAATACAGAGTGGTTTTGAAAAACCTGTTTAAATTGAATTTATTTACTGAGGTTTCATTGGTGTACAAGTATGTAAATGGTTCTAATTTCTAGGGGTATAATGTTAACCACATCCAACACCAAGTGTTGCATCCCTTCACTGTCTGTATTGACCCATTCTGTCCACACTCTCACCTTTGGAAACCTCAGTTATGAGAATCTAAGGTAAGGGTTTGTTTTCACTGGACATTGTGTGAAAGTGACCTTGCTTTGGTTCTTTATGTACTATACACACTGTATGTTCATAACTTGGGCCTCAAGTTTTTAATTTTTACTTGAATTTGTCAAAGTGACCCGGAAGGTCATTTTACAAAATCAAACTTATGATAAACACCGTAATAAATATGCAGAGCCAGTACTAAACCTTAACTCTTAGATTTTACAAAATGTACCTGAATACACATTTTAAAAGAGAATTAAAAAATGTAGGAAAAATAAAACCCACAGCCAAGTATAGTTTCTTCTAATTAGCTGGAAATTTCATGATTTATATTAGAATTGGGTTATGATGAATCAAGTCAGATTCCAGATACTCATTTAAGTGAACTTGATTTTGATCAGATACCCTAAAATTTACCTATTTCTCATGGATTTTCTTGTTTCCTTTTTTGTTTTTGAGGGGGGCCACACAATAGGCACAGATCCTTTTAGCATCATTTCACAAACACTGGCAAAAAATATGACCATATTTTTAAGTTAAAAATATTTTTTTTTTTGCTTTGTTGGCCAGACATGGTGGTGCTTTGGGTCTACTAGCTTTGAGTTAAGGCTCAATCCTGGCTGTGTTCAGCCTGGGATCATCTCTCTCTGATGCCTAATAATTAAAATAGATCAATGTGATTATTAAAAATTTCATAAATTCTACACAGTTGTTTCTATTGACATTATAGGAGATGTATATGTAAAAAGTTCACTGTCTTTAATTCATAATTCTCAGATGAGTCATAATTTAATATACTGAAAATTTGCCCACGTTTATATAGAAACTTTGCATATAAAAATCTTCTTTAAGACATTGTTTACATTTGTTTACACTGTTTACCTTGTCTGCACGGCAAAGCCTGGCAAGCGTATTCTATATGCCAAACACAGTAACAACAAGTCTCACCATGAAGACGTTACTGGGCCCGCTCGAGCAACTCGATGAACAACGGGAGGACAGTGCTATAGTTTACATTTAGGCCCAAATCTTACTGATTTACATCATACATGACATCTGGAATTTTTTCCCAAAATTTAAGGACAAGCAGTTACTCATTTCATTCTTCCTATACTCTACAAAATATTATTTATTTAAGTACCAATAGAGCAAAAGTATTTGCACAGAAGTGAAGATTTTTCTTATATTAAAGTTGTACTTGTTTTGAAAACATTCTTAAAAATGATCTTGATTGTAATGGTATATTTTTTCTTTAAGGCCTACTTTTCCTTTTATCTTCAAATAGACTCTTCAGCATATAAACTTGAATAGCTGACACTGTCACCATGACCACTAAATTAACCAAAGACCAGAAATTGACTCTGTCAAAGTTGCTTTCTTGTATGTTTCGATCACGAGCTTCAAATGCTCTAAGCAGAGTTTGGATATGACCACTCTTGCTCAGTCTGGACTTGATACTGTTGATGGACTCCTGGGGAGAAATAATTATTTTTAAACAATACAGTGTTCATAGTTTAAATTAATTTTAAAAAGTAATTTATGGAGGCCAGAGCAGTGGTACAGTGGGTAGGTTGCTTGCCTTGCACGTGGCAACCCGGGTTCGATCCCAGGCATCTCATAGGGATCCCAAGCACACCAAGAGTAATTCCTGAGTGCAGAGATAGAAGTAACCCCTGAGCATTGCCTGGTGTGTCCCAAGAAGCCAAAAGGAAATAAAGATTTATAGTATCCTGATGTTTTTCTTACTTTAATATTCAAATGAAAGTTTTAAGAAGAGAAAGGATCTGGATTACCTAAAAATCACCTGAAAGGTTCTTGGTTCTTCTTATTCTTCTGATACGTTCAGACTGTTTATTTAACAAAGGAGCAAACCTACTGTGAATTGAAAATGTATTTGGGAAAAACCCTAGGAATTTTATATTTATTAGCTCTTTATTGATCTTTAAGAAGATCAATAAGGTTTTGGAGTCTGGAGTCTTTTTTTTTTTTTTTTTGGTGCACAAGTCACACACCTTGTTAGGTGTTTAGGGCTTTCTGCCTTCCAGGGTCACTCCTGTCGAGACTTGGGGGACCATATGGAATACTGGGGTTGGCTGGATTGGCTATATGCAAGGCAAGGACCCTACCACTACTATCACTCTAGCCCCGAAGTTTTAAAAATACCCAATAATAACTTTTAGGTATTTACACACTTAATGTGTTTTAGAATATTTTTTTCTTTTTTGGGTCACACCCGGCGATGCATAGTTACTCCTGGCTGTGCACTCAGGAATTACTCCTGACGTTGCTTGGGGGACCATATGGGATACTGGGAATCGAACCCGGGTTGGCCGTGTGCAAGGCAAATACCTTATCCGCTATGCTAATGCTCCAGCCCTTATTTTCTTTTTTATTTTTTATTAGTGAAACACCATGAGGTACAGTTGTAGATTTACAACTTTTTGTGCTTGGGTTTCGATAATAGAATGATCAGATACCCATCCCTCCACCAGTGCCCATTTTCCACCACCATGGATATTATCTCCCTCACCCCCATCCCCCCATCTCCCCCTGCCTCTGTGGCAGGGCAATCCCTTGTGTTCTCTCTCTCCTTTTGGGTATTGTGGTCTGCAAAAGAGGCATTGAGTGGCAAACATGTTCAGTCCATAGTCTACTTTCGACAAGGATCTCCCCTCCTGGGAGGATCCTCCAAACACCCTTTATTTGGTGCTCCCTTCTCTATCTGAGCTGCCCTTTTCCCTATAATGCCCGGCTGGCCTCTAAGCTAAGGAGTAATCCTCCTGGTGCTGATCTCAGCTATTCTTGGGTATTAATCTCATATTTTGTTACTTTATATCCCCCAGATGAATGCAATCTTTCTATGCCTATCCCTCTCTTTCTGACTCATTTCTCTTAGCATGATACTTTCCATGTTGTACCACTTGTATGTAAATTTCATGCCTTCATCTTTTCTAACAGCTACATAGTACTCCATTGTGTAGATGTACCAAAGTTTCTTTAACCAGTCATCTGTTCTTGGGCACTCAGGTTTCTTCCAGTTTCTGGCTATTGTAAAGAGTGCTGCAATGAACAAACAAGTGCAGATGTCACTTCGACTATACATTTTTGCCTCTCTGGGATATATTCCCAGGAGTGGTATTGCTGGGTCAAATGGGAGCTCAATTTCTAATTTTTTGAGAATCGTCCATACTGTTTTCCAGAAGGGCTGAACCAGTGGACATTCCCACCAACGGTGAAGGAGTGTCCCTTTCTCGCCACATCCACGCCAGCATCGGTTGCTTTTGTTCTTTTGAATGTGGGCCAGTCTCTGAGGTGTGAGATGGTATCTCATTGTGGTTTTGATCTGCATCTCCCTGATGATTAATGATGTAGAGCATTTTCTCATGTGCTTTTTTGCCATTCAGATTTCTTCTTTGAGAAAGTTTCTGTTCATTTCATTGCCCCATTTTTGGACGGGGTTGGATGTTTTCTTCTTGTGGAGTTTAACCAGTATTTTGTATATCCTGGATATCAACCCCTTGTCAGATGTGTATTCGGCGAATTTCCTTTCCCATTCTGTAGACTGTCTTTGTATTTTGGTCACTGTTTCTTTGGAGGTGCAGAAGCTTCTTAGTTTAAGATAGTCCCTTTTATCTATCTGTTTTCACTTGCTCGGCCAGTGGCATGGCATCTTTGAAGATACCATTAGCTTCAATGTCATGAAGGGTTTTGCCAACTTTGTCTTCAATGTACCTTATGGTTTCTGGTCTGATGTTGAGGTCTTTAATCCATTTTGATCTTACTTTTGTACATGGTGTTAGGCAGAGTTCTGAGCCCAGTTTTTTGCATGTAGCTGTCCAGTGATGCCAGCACAATTTGTTAAAGAGGCTTTCCTTACTCCACTTCACATTACTTGCACCTTTATCAAAGATTAGATGATCATATGATTGAGGGGAGATGTTAGTGTATTCAACCCTGTTCCATTGGTCTGCAGTTCTGCCTTTGTTCCAGTACCATGCTGTTTTAATTATTACTGCTTTGTAGTACAGTTTGAAGTTCGGGAGGTTGATTCCTCCCATTTTCTTTTTCCCAAGAATTGCTTTAGCTATTCGTGGGGGCTTATTGTTCCATATAAATTTCAGGAGTGTTTGCTCCATTTCTTTGAAGAATGTCATGGGTATCCTTATAGGGATTGCATTGAATTTATACAATGCTTTGAGAACTATTGCCATTTTGACAATGTTAAGTCTCCCGACCTATTAGCAGGGGATATCTTTCCATTTCCTCATGTCCTCTTTTATTTCCTGAAGTAGCGTTTTGTAGTTTTCTTTGTACAGGTCCTTTACTTCCTTAGTTAAGCTGATTCCTAGGTACTTGATTTTCTGGGGCACAATTGTGAACGGGATTGTTTTTTTCATGTCACTTTCTTCTCTCTCACTGTTTGTGTATAGGAAAGCCATAGACTTTTGGGTATTGATTTTATAGCCTGCAACTTTACTATATGAGTCTATTGTTTCTAGGAGTTTTTTGGTGGAGGTTATTGGGTTCTCTAAGTATAGTATCATATCATCTGCAAATAGTGAGAGCTTGATTTCTTCCTTTCCTACCTGAATGCCCTTAATATCTTTTTCTTGCCTAATCGCTATTGCAAGTACTTCCAGTACTATATTGAACATTAGTGGAGAGAGTGGGCATCCTTGTCTCGTCCCTGATCTTAGAGGGAAGGCTCTCAGTTTTTCCCCATTGAGGATGATGCTTGCTGTAGGCTTGTGGTAGATGGCTTTAATTATGTTGAGGAAAGTCCCCTCTATACCCATTTTGTCCAGCCCTTATTTTCTTCTTTAAATTGTTCGTGTCTGTTAACCTGGTCGAGTTTATTATATAGCAAACCACCAAATGATTCTATCTCACCAATTAGTAATAAAATCGAAAAATAATTTCAGATATACATCCAAGAATAATGAAGGGCAGAGCTTATCATGGTCACTGTTAAGCAGTGATAACCTAGTAATGAGTATATTATCCAGAAAAATACAGGATTCAGATAAAATTTAATACAACCATAATAGTTCTTTTCAATATGATAGACAGTTACTCAAATTTATTACCATACATAAATCAGGGTGTGGCAGGGGAGCGGGATATGACTCCAGAAAGATACTTGATTTAAAAAAAAAATGCGTGTGTGACGGTGGGGGTCTGAGGGCCTCATATACACAAGGCATGCATTCTACCACTGAACTATATCCCTGGCCTAGGAGCTTTATAATTAAATCTGAATTTTCTGTTCAACTGTGAACAAAGTCAATCTCTTGAGAATTCAGTGAAATTATTTATAACTACATAATTTTATTCTTGTTGAACAGGAATAGGGATCTCTATCAGTAATGAAGTGCATGCCTCACATAGGGAGGACATATTTTTCGATTCTTGGCAATGCATATGTGCACACCCCATCACTACCTCTATATATTTAAAATATGATTAAGAGTTTAAAAAAATAGGAAAATATAAATGGATAGTTGTACAAGTATGATTGTATCACACTCATCTTTTTGGCTTTTTGCCTTCCCAAGCAGTGCTAAGGCCACTCCTGGCAATTTTCAGTCAACTTGCCAGCAGTTCAATTGAGGACCCAAAGATGGAGGTGCTGCTTGGGCCCTGCAGTATTGAGCAGATGCCAGGGATTCCCCAGGTTGCCTTGCTGGTGTTGAGGATTATCCAGGTCTGCAAGACATAAGTCTTAATCCCAGTACTCTCTATCTGGATCATATCACTTTCATTTTGAGCCAGTTCTTTATATATACTAAATATCAGGGCTGAGGCTGCAGATAAGGCACTTGCGTTGCATGTGGCTGACCAATCCCCAACACCGCATATAGTCCCCGAGCCTGCCAGGAGTGATTCCTGAGCACGAGCAGGTATCCCCCACCTCCAAAGCTCTTGGAAAAATGTCTATACATTTAACTGTTTATAAATAACAGTTATTTTCAAATACTTTACAGATCATTATATCCCAAGGGAGTTTTGTATTTAAGAACCTGTATTCAAATTTTAATTTTCTCTTTTTAGTTACTTGATGGAAACATTATCTAACCTATATAAGCCACAGTTTCCATACTGAAAAGATGGAAATATATACTGGTTGACAAGTATGTAAATGTTTCACAGCATTAACTATCAGAATTAACTATTGTGTTATATCACAATCTGAGAATGCAGCTCGATGGTAGAACACACATTTTTCCTGTGTTAGGCTCTGGGTCTGAACTCTGGTGGAAAAAAACTCAAACATGAAATAAAAAACCATACTGACCAGAATATCTTCCAGTTTCAAATCCAACATGTCTGTGCCAGTAATAAATTTCTTCCAGTCCTCTTCTTGCTCTTGTTCTCCCATATTATCCAGAATTAATTCAAAGAAAATCACCTTCTCAGAAACAGTGCTGAATGTATTATCAAAACAAAACATGTAGTCACCAACTTCAGTCTCCACCCTGCATTTTAAAAAGTGCATGCCTTTAGTTTCTGTACTTCTGGGATCAACAGAATAGACAAAAGATAAATAATATGGTTTACAGAAGATGATTATGGACAGAAAGACCTAGAAATAATGGTCAAATATTTGCAACTTGGCATTTACTTGATAATTGAAATTATGGTAAATATTTTTGCATAGTATTGGTGATCGAACCTATAGCCTCACACATGTAGGGCAGGAACTTTACCACTGAGTCACACATCCCAGGTCTCCATAATAAATGACCTTGATCAAATTTTTGGGAAAGGTTAGAGTACTAACCTAGATCCATGATACTTCACAATCACTGTCACTGTCCTCCCGTTGTTCATCGATTTGCTCGAGCGGGCCCAGTAACATCTCCATTGGAGACTTTATTGTTACTGTGTTTGGCATATCAAATACATCACGGGTAGCTTGCCAGGCTCTGCTGTGGGGGCGAGATACTCTTGGTAGCTTCCCAGGCTATCTGAGAGGGGCGGAGGAATCGAACTTGGGTCGGCCATGTTGGCTGCGTGCAAGGCAAATGCCCTACCCGCTGTTCTGTCGCTCCACTCCATACGTCACAATATTATATGCTAAACTATTTCATAGTGTTCATTTCAGACACAAGTATGACTATCAATCCTTCCTTCAATTAGGATTAATGAAGTGAGTTCTGTGGTGCTGATGCTGTGGAGGCTTGCTAAGTAATGACTTGCAAGGACTCGCTCTCACCAACAGAGCCACATCCCCAGCCCACAATTTTATGGATTGTCTTGATTTTTGTGTCACACCTTACAGTGTTCAGGGGGACCCACACTTCAAATGCACCATCCTCAAATGTTTTGGTTAATTCTTTCATCTTGGTATTGTGGCCACATTATGATCATGCCCAGAGGCTATTGGTGGCTTGGTGCTCAGGAATAACCCCTACTGTTACTTGGGACCATATGCGGTGCCTGGTTCATGGCTACCACAGCCATATGTAAGGCAAGTGTCTTACCTCCTGTACTGTCTCTGGTCCCAAAATTTTATCTTCTAAAAGCCAGTGAATCGATTGTTCTAGATTCACTCTTCTATTTCTACCAATTAAGTTCATGTTTCTATTATGCTAAATAAAGTATGCATTTCTAATCTATAGAGGTTAGGGATGTGTCAGTGATCAACAACCAGAGCTTTTATTCAGTGGCATTCCCACAACTGAATAAATGCCACTCACCATTAAAACTTAACTTGGGGCTGGAGCGATAGCACAGCGGGTAGGGCATTTGTCCTGCATGCGGCCCACCCGGGTTTGATTCCCAGCATCCCATATGGTCCCCCAAGCACTGCCAGGAGTAATTCCTGAGTGCAGAGCTAGGAGTAACCCCTGCGCATTGCTGGGTGTGACCCAAAAAGCAAAAAACAAAACAAAAAAACCCCTTATGATCTTTTAAGTTAGCTTCAAATGCAAGACCACTGGCCTGGGAGAGTTAATTTAGCAGTGATTTTCCAATATGTAGAAAAATTGTGAACTGGAGCGATAGCACAATGGGTAGGACATTTGCCTTGCAAGCAGCCAGCCTGGCCAAGCTGGGTTTGATTCCTCCTCCCCTCTCGGAGAGCCCGGCAAGCTACTGAGAGTATCTCGCCCGCACGGCAAAGCCTGGCAAGCTACCCGTGATGTACTGGATATGCCAAACACAGTAACAACAAGTCTCGCAACAGAGACATTACTGGGCCAGCTCAAACAAATCGATGAACAACAGGAGGACAGTGCTATAGTGCTACAGTCTTCTAAATATAATATATTCAGCCAATCGCTAATGTTTTTTCCTATTTCTGACTTTTACTTAAGCATTACCAATTACTAGTAATGTGACTACATTTTAGCACATATAAATAAGAGGGTGGGCTGAAGAGATAGTCCACTGTTCACTGCTGTTCATCAATTTGCTCGAGCAGGCCCAGTAACGTCTCCATCGTGAGACTTGCTGTTATTGTTTTTGGCATATTGAATACGTCACGGGTAGCTTGCCAGGCTTTGCTGTGCGTGCCGGCGGGATACTCTTGGTAACTTGCTGGGCTCTCCGAGAGGGGTGAAGGAACCAAACTCGGGTCAGCCGCATGCAAGGCAAACACCCTACTCGCTGTGCTATCGCATACAGTGGGTAAAGTCCTTGCATGTGGCCAACTGTCCCTGGCACCCCACACAATCCAAACACTGCCAGGAGTAAGCCCTGAACACTGCTATGTTGTTTGTCTTAATCCTTACCATCAGATTTGGAAGCAGGCATAATGACCCCTTCAAAGTATGTTTCACAACGATTAAGATGCTTACCTATGACCATATAGCATGTTAAAAGCATAGATGAAAATTTGTTTTCTGATGAGAGTTAATTGATATTGCTCAGGGCCTGGCTCCCTTCTTTGCAACCTCCTCACTCATGATAAACCTGTGTTTCTGAGGATGTATTTAACTTTAGAAAGCAAATGCTAGTAAATCCAGAGAACAGTTTTAAAAGGAAAAATATAAAATAAGCGACATAATTATTATGTAACACAATAGAGAGCTGTGGGCATTCCTGAGGATTATTTTCCATTTTCTGATTTAATGGCCTTATTTTAAGTGTTTAACCACTAAATGGGTAGGAGCGATAGCACAGCGGTAGGGCATTTGCCTTGTGTGCAGCCAGCCTGGCCGAGCCGGGTTCAATTCCTCTGCCCCACTCGGAGAGCCCAGCAAGCTACTGAGAGTAACTCGCCCGCACAGCAATGCCTGGCAAGCTACCTGTGATGTATTCAATATGCCAAACACAGTAACAAGTCTCATGATGGAGATTCTACTAGGCCCGCTCGAGCAAATCGATGAATAACGGGAGGACCGTGACCGTGAACCACAAAATGTGTCTACCCTGATTAGACAGAAGGACAGCATTCACTTGGACTGTATTCTCAGCATGTGCCTGGGAGAGAAGGTAGAGAAGGATGACATTTTCATAAGGGATGGGTAAAAACTGGCTCAAGAGTGGGGAAAAAGGAACTTTGACCCTTCGAAGTCAATCATGACAAAATCTTTTTCTTTGAGATTTTTTTGGTTTTGTTTTTGGGCAATACTTTGGGGTTACTCCTGGCTCTGTGCTCAGGAATTACTCCTGGTAGAGCTCAAGGGGTGCTGGGGACCAAAACCAGGTTGGTCATGTGTAAGGCAAGCGCCTTATCCATTGTACTCTCTCCAGTCCCTTCTTTAGGATTTTTGAGTTCCATCTGGTGGTGCTTGTGGACTACTACTGGCTCTGTGTTTGGTGAGACCATGTGGTACCAAGAACAGAACTGGGGTTGACCCTTACAGGGCAAGTATATACTACATCACTGGCCCCTAATAAATCTTATTAGTATTTAATTTCTCTCATTAGGTTTTCGTGGGCATATGAAAGCAGTCCTAGTTATACTTCATGAAAGATACAAAAGGAATATAAAAGGGCTGGAGAGATAGCATTGCAGATAGGGTACTTTCCTTGCATACAGCTGACCTGGGTTTGATTCCCCAAGCATAGAGCCAGATAGTTATCCCTGAATACCACCTGGTATAACCCAAAAACTGAAAAAAGACCAATAAAACAAAATATCTTGTACAAGAACAGTGCTATTAGATGACAGTAAACTTGACAGTGTGACTGTAAGACACCAGATCGATCAACTGCAAAGCTGAATTTTTTTTTTGTTTTTTATTTTTTGAAACTATAGTTTTGAAGATATAAAATAAAAAGTCGCCCTTGTGTTCCTATTGATATTACTGGCTCCCATGTGAAGTCTTCTTTTGAGACTTAAATTCAGCTGTCTAGAAAAATTTTGCATTCATGTAGGATTCTTCACTCCAGGTAGTGTTAGACAGATATTACTTAATATGTCTACAGCTCTGATTAGAAACACTTTTACTAAATTTTACATCTGGAAGGGCAGTATTTGTTTCAAAGAGTTAATTTAAAGGGGAAAAAAGATTTCAGTGTCATAACTAACATTCTTTTCACACTAACATGGGCTAGAGCAGTAGTACAGTGTGTAGGGTGCTTGCCTAGCATGTGGCCAACCCAGGTTCAATCCCAGGCACCCCATATGGTTCCTGAGCACCACTAGGAGTGATCCCTGAGCAGAGCCAAGAGTGAGCCCTCTACACTGCCAGGTGTGGCAAAAACAAAAATGTTATTGGTAAAGTTAAAAATTTGTTCAAGTCTAACATAGTAGATTTTAAGTCTATTTCAGTGATTAAGAATGAGTCAGTTGAATTGCCTGGTTTTAAATCCTGATTTTTCCGTTTTCTAGCATATACCCGAGAGGAACTTAAGCTGCTTTACACTGCATTTTCCACATAAGTAAATGATAATACCATTTGCATTTTAGGATTATAATTTTAAAAAATTAACACATGTAAAGTACTTAGAACAGTTGCTTTGCATATGGAAAGAGCTCAGTAAATAGAAAATGTCATAATCATTATTATTTTTCTCCTCATGATTTAATGAATAGTAATTCTATGCAAAAAAGCAATAGGAAGCCTTTTCCTAATAGTCAATTTTAATTTTTCTCTAGAACAGCATATTATTACTCTGAAAAAATGTCAGAAATTGTTTTTTCTATACTGAAATTCAAAGATTAAGCTAAAAATTTACTTTTCATATAGATCACTGTCACTGTCCTCCCATTGTTCATCATTTTGCTCTAGTGAGCACCAATAACATCTCCATTGTGAGACTTGTTACAGTTTTTGGCATATCGAATACGTCATGGCTAGCTTGCCAGGCTTTGCCATGCAGCCGGAATACTCTTGGTAGCTTTCCAGGCTCTCCGAGAGGGGCAGAGGAATCAAACCTGGGTCGGTGGCATGCAAGGCCAACGCCATACCCGCTATGCTATCGCTCTGTCCCTGTCATATAGATATCAAAGAGAAAATACAGATAATACCATGCATAGTCAATTAATTTTTATAAATAATCTGGCCCTACTTTAGGGCCGGAGTGATAGTATTGGGGAACTTGCCTTGGACACAGGTGACGCAGGTTCGGTTCCTGGCATTCATATGTCACCTGAGCACCACCAGGAGTGATTCCTGACTGGTGCAGAGCTAGGACTAAGCCATGAACACCGCAGTTTGAACCCCCCAACCAAAAAAAAAAAAAAAAATTAAAGATTTTTATTTAATAACTGATGCAACATTTCCCCTTGGCTCTATACAAGCAAAATGCCATTTTAAAAAGTACACTGAGGGGCTGGAGAGATAGCACAGCGGGTAGGGCGTTTGTCGTGTACAGAGTCGACCTAGGTTCAATTCCCAGCATCCCGTATGGTCCCCCAAGCACCGCCAGGAGTAGTTCCTGAGTGCAGAGCCAGGAGTAATCCCTGTGCATTGCCGGGTGTGACCCAAAAAAGCAAATATAAATAAATAAAAAGTACACTGAAATGCCTAACAAGTTGTTTTCCCCTCTTTCATATATGTATTTAGTACTCAGTAGTATCAAATATAGGTACTTTGGTTAACAAAGACCAATAATTATAATAATATCTAGTACTTACATAGTGCTTAAATGCCAGGGATGTTCTAAGCATCATATGGTAGAAAGTAAGAATTTTTGGTCCATACTGTCTCCTCCTCTTAATAAATATGTATCCCTGCAGACTTATTTAACTTCTCTGAGTCTCCTTGTCTGTAAACATTCCTTGTCTGAAAAATGGGAATTGGGGAATCAAAGAATCTACCTCACAGTAGGTTGGAAAGATTAATTTAGAAGTTTATAAATGCAAAGCCTAATTTGTGGCAGATATTTGACACTGCTTTCTTTTCTTCTGTAAACTCAATTTAGTTTTAACACATCAACAGTATGAAATACAGGGGCTGGAGCGATAGCACAGCGGGTAGGGCGTTTGCCTTGCACACGGCCGACTCAGGTTCAATTCCCAGCATCCCATATAGTCCCTTGAGCACTGCCAAGAGTGATTCCTGAGTGTAGAGCCAGGAAAAACCCCTGTGCAATGGTGCAATGCCGGGTGTGACCTCCCCCCCCCCCCCAAAAAATATGAAATACAGAAAGTGCCGTGTTAAAATAATTAGTCAGGGAAAGACTGGTGAACACAAAAAAAGAATGTGAGATTTAAGAAAACCTGTAACTCATAGAGTAATAATAAGTATTTTACTTCTATAGTTTTATATGGTCAGATATTTTGCTTACAGATTTTCTAATTATCTATAGAGTAAGGTCTCAGTAAAAATACAATTTTCACATAAACACAAAGATGTCGGATTATTTTCAAAGAAAAAATAATGGGTAAAGATTTGGCCAGTTGCTCAAGACTTTTAGGAAATATACCTGAAAAAGCAAGGAAAACCTTGTTAGCCATAAAGGCAAGTTTAAAATGATACTACAGAGTGACTATAATACATGCAGAATACTCATTTAATTTTAAAGCCAAGAAAAAAATTTAGGATAAAAAAAAAACATTAACAAAATACTTTTGTGTAAGATAAACAGACTGTTTAAAATAAAATGCTCATATGGATGGAATCTTTAATAGTAATTGTACTAGGGAGATAGCTCCAAGAGCTAGAGCACATGCAAAGCATGCAGGAAACCTGTATTAGATCCCTGACATATCGCTCTCTAAGCACCACTAGCTATGGCAGAAAAACCAAGTGTCAGCGCCCCCCACACGCACACCCAGCAAAAGTGCTAAATTACCTTTCCCTGCAAATGGCACACTGATACTTCTGGGAATTCAAAAGATTACTTACGTATGCACGCCATCTGATTTCCTTTGTTCAAAAACTAAAGTCCTTCCTTCTGGTGAGACAAGAAGAAAATCAACATCTAATCCTGCTCCATCTAAAACCTATGGAAAAGAACAGAAGAGGGTACATTATAAATTCTGAAAATAAAAGTAAATCACTGCTCCATCTAACACCTATGGAAAAGAACAGAAGAGGGTACATTATAAATTCTGAAAGTAAAAGTAAATCATACCACGAAAAGATTTTCTGGGTTTTTTTTGGTTTGTTTGTTCACACCCAGCAATGCACAGGGGTTACTCCTGGCTTTGCACTCAGGAATTACTCCTGGCGGTGCTTGGGGGACCATGTGGGATGCTGGGAATCGAACCCGGGTCGGCTGTGTGCAAGACAAACGCCCTACCCTACCCACTGTGCTATCACTCCAGCCCCAGACTTCCTTTCTAAACCTAGAGTTAGGTTAAGAAAATCATCAGGGCTGGAGCGATAGTACAGTGGGTAGGGAGTTTGCCTTATATGAGGCTGACCCAGGTTCGATCCCCAGCATCCCACAGGGTCCCCGAGCACTGCCAGGAGTGATCCCTAAGTGCAGAGCCAGGAGTAACCCCTGACCATCGCCGGGCATAAGCCAAAAAGTGAAAATAAATAATAAAAGAAAATCATCAAACTCATTTTAGGGCTGGGTGGAAAAATCATGTAATTCTAGTCATTTTTGAAACTCTACACTCCTACCCCTACTTTTTAGCCCAATTCCTATTACCTAAATTTATGCCTTACAGGTAAGTACTGAAGCAGTCTTCCTAAAACGGCCTTCATGAAAATCCCCATATAGTAGGGAGAAAATATAGAGAATTTAGGGGCCAGAGAGAGGGCTTAAAGAGCCAGTGTGCATGGTTTGCATGTGGGAGCACTGGGTTCAAACTGTAGCACAGCATAGTTCCCCAGTGACACCTAATGGGACTTTAAAAAAGGGGGGTGGGATTAAATGGTGCTCCTTTTACTTAGGTAAATTTTCTGAGTTTATTCCTACTCTATAATTAAAGGCCTCCATAATCTGACTCTAACTGACCTGTTCAACAAATAAATGCCATTCCCCAATAAAAACTCTATTCCTAATAGACCATTTCCTTAATTTTAAGACACTTAAAGATTTTGTTTTTTTGGCCACACCTGGTGGTGCTCAGGAGTTACTCCTGGCTCTGTGTCCTGGGATCATTCATGAAGTTGCTTGGCGGATTTATGTTAAGCTGGGAATTGAACTGTACTGTCAGGGCTAGGGAGACAGCTCCAAGAGCTAGAGTATGTGCAAAGCATGTAGGAAACAAAGCATGTAGATTCCTGACACATCGCTCTCTAAGCAACACTGGCTGTGGCAGAAAACCCAAACGTCAGGCCCCAGCACCCAGTAAAATTCAAGATTACATCCTACAATTCACAATTAGAGTCATGTGCCTTGTAATATCTCTCTGACTAAACCATTTTCATGAAACTCTAAAAGTTAGATCTTAATGTTATTCTAATTTTAGAAAGAAAAAAGAAAAACTAAACAGAAACAGGTGATTTTATATTGCGGGTGTGGTGGGAAGAGGATGTGCACTTGATTGTGCTCAGGGGCCAGTCCTGGCTCTGCAATCAGGGATCACTCTTGTCCAATGTGACTCATTTGGATCTCTAATACCACAACCAAGTGTGCACAAGCCCTAGTCACCGCCACAGAAAGAAAAGGGGAAGAGAAATATGTAATGAGAAAAAAAATTTCTTTAAACTAGGTGCAGCGACTAGACTCAATGCCAGCAATTTTGGAACATATATCATGGCCCACAGAGGGGGAACTCTATGCCACATGCAGGAAGTGCCTGGAGTCCAGAATAAGCTTCTCAGGAAAGAAAGATCCACTCAGCATGGCAGCCAGAAACCTCATTCCAGGAATTTCAGAGCTGAGAATTCTCTACTGCGAGAGCCACAAGCTACAAAAAAACATGCACAGGAACTTGGCAGGAAAACTGGCACAGCAAGCAAGACTGAGACCCCTGTCCCCTGCCATGGAAATACTGGCAAGACAGTCTCCATCAGAAACTCATGTTATAAGAGATCAGACACTGGGTCTAGAGAAAGATCTGATAGCCCAATGATTGGGCTCAGAGAATGAGCTGGTCTCGTTACAGAATGGGGGGTGGGAGGGGGGGCAGCTGAGCATTTCACACTCAGGCTGATCTCCCAACCTGGAACAGATAGTGGCGGAACTCTACACCTCAAACCCATTCTTCACCTCCTCAAACCCCAAGGCCCAAAAAACAAAGAACACAAATCAAGACCACAGCACCTCCTACTGGAAAATCAAGGCAAATGCCAAAAGAGATTGATTCCTAAGGCAAGAGGGAAAGATAATTCTTCAGAAATCAATCTTAACTACAGGGAAATGGAGAGTCTAATGAATTTAAAATAACATGATGAAAATAAAAGAGAAACATCAAGAGCACACAACAGTTTATTCGTAAAGTGAATTCACAGGGAATTCTTAAAGTATTTTTTTAAAATGTTAAGAATTTAAAAACATTTTTAAAAATTTACAAGACTGTTAATGATTGGGTTTCACACATAACAAAACTGCTGCCAAAGGGAGTTCTTGACCAGAGATGGAAACTATAAAAAATTCTAGACAGATGGAGCCAAAGTGATAGTACAGTGGGTAGGGCACTTAACTTGCATGAGGCTGACTGTCACTGCTTTGATCCCAGGCACCCTACCTACATGGTCACCGGAGCCCTGCCAGGAGGATCCCTCAGCACAGAACTAGGGTAAGTCTGAACACTGCTGGATGTGACCCTAATAAACAAGCGAAAAGAGATCCTGGATATGAAAAGCATCAGGAATGAAATGGAAACCTACTAATAAGCAGAGTCAATTTAGCAGAGAGAAGAATAAATGAAATTGAAGATAAAATTCTAGTAATGATTCAAATGGAAGATGATTTAGGAAAACCGAAGAAGCGTTTCAAAAACTATCTCATTTCATCAGAAGAGAAACTATATGGATAATTGAGAGAGAAAATGAAGAAAGAGCCTATTATTCAAAGAAATAACAGCTGACAGGGTTAAGACAGTACAGAAATTTTGGTGTGCTTGTCTGGAGTTTGAGTGTGGCAGAGAGACTGGTTCAAATCCGGTCACTCATGGTACCTCTAGCATGGTTCCTGAGCCATGCTAGGTGTACCTCCAAAAACCTAAAAAACGTCAACCCAAACAAACAAAAAGCTAGGAACTTCCCAAGGAAAAAATTCTAGAAACCCAGATTTCTAAAATTCATGTGCCAGAGAGATAATACAACAGGTAAGGTCATTGTCCGGTAGGCAGCAGACCAGGGTACAACCCCAGTACCCTCAAGTGATCCCTGAGCACTACCAAGTGTGGCCAAAAAACAAACAAACAAAAACACACACACAAAGAAAATTAAAAGCTAAATCAATCCAGGTATGTGTAATATAACAAATACTGTATTTTCTATGTGCCAGGAAGGTCTATGAACACCAATTAATTCATTTTTGCGGGGAGAGAAGGGTTGGGGGTCACACCTGATGGCGCTATCATTTCAACCCCTCTGTAACTCATATTTTCATATCAATTCTATGAGGTAATTATCTATCACAAGAGTTAGCAAGCTTGATTAAGACGGAGTAGGCATTTTATCTCTAGAGATGTAGCTCTTAATACTGTGGGCTGGAGTGATAGCACAGCGGGTAGGGCGTTCGCCTTACAAGCGGCCAACATGGCCGACCTGAGTTCGATTCCTCCGCCCCTCTCGGAGAGCCCGGCAAGCTACCGAGAGTATTCGATATGCCAGACACAGTAACAATACTGTGATTAGTAAATAAAATAAATTTAATCCCTAATTCATAGGCAAGTAGTCTTTTGGGTCACACTCATTGGTGCTCTGGGGCTATTCCTGTTCACTGCTTGAGGTTGCTCCAGCAGTGATTGGGGAAACACGAAGAGCTGAGGGATGGAAACCAAGACCTGAACATGCAAAGCATGCAAGTCCTGTCCTACAACTCTATCTCCCCCACCACAAATACTTGGAATTTTTTTTTTGCGGGGGGGGGGGGGGGGGGGGGAGAAAGGTGGGGAGTGGAGAACTTGTGTGGGAGGAGGGTGCATCACACCTGCTGGTGCTTAGGGCGACTTCCTCTGTGCTGAGAAAGTGGCAGTACTAGAAGATGAAACCAACCAGGACTACTGCACGCACAGCATGTGCTGCAGCTCTTTCAACTCTTCTGCACTTTAATACAAATTGCTTTCTTTTTCTTTTAGCTTTTTCTTCATGCTGAGGGATCCAGTTCAGGACCTCATATACATTCTTTCTACTGCTCAGGTACATCTCCAGATCTTACAAATCATTTTCCTATCTCCACTATTTTCACTGGCCCCCATTTGGTTTTCCTGCCTAACTTCACTCTCCTTATATCCATCTTCCACACTGTATCAGTGATCGATTTGAAACACGGTTAAAACTCTTACTACCGGGGCTGGAGAGATAGCACAGCGGGTAGGGTGTTTGCCTTGCACGCGGCTGACCCGGGTTCGATTCCCAGCATCCCATATGGTCCCCTGAGCACCGCCAGGAGTAACTCCTGAGTGCAGAGCCAGGAGTAACCCCTGTGCATCGCCAGGTGTGACCCAAAAGAGCAAAAAAAAAAAAAGAATCAAAACAAACTTTAAAAAAAAAAAACTCTTACTACCATTATTAAATTTTTGTGAACTTTTTAAGTTCTAATAAAGGCAAAGGGTTTAGCATGCACACAAGGCAAGATTCATAACTGCACATTCTAACCATTGGGGCAAATCTCTTATTCTATTCCTACCTCAAACTACTGCGTCTTAAAGAGTAATACAAATTCTTAGCTGAAGTCCATTATATACAGACTACCACCAAAACACACTACCATTTTCAAAGGTTTTTTTCCCCCCTTTCCTGAGAGGTTCTTCATCATGCATTCCTATCTTGGTCCTGAGCACGGGAATCAGCCCTGAGCACCAATGGGTGTGGCCCCATAAAAATAAATAAATTATAAATAAAGGGGCCGGAGAGATGGGGGAAGGGGCTGAGCCCAAGTTTTGCATTACCCTGGGTTTGATCCCTACACCACCCGAGCCAGGAGTAGTCCCCAGTCTTACAGGGAGTGAGCTCCCAACACACACCACCATTATGAGTAACGTTTGCTTGAGCGGGCCCAGTAACGTCTCCATTGGAGACTTTGTTGTTACTATGTTTGGCATATCGAATACATCACAGGTAGCTTGCCAGGCTCTGCCGTGCGGGCGAGATACTCTCGGTAGCTTGCCGGGCTTTCCGAGAGTAACATTAAAAAAATAATTAGAAGATAAATCACAACAATGTTGTTTGTTTTGCAACGCTACCTGGAAATATCGAAATCAGTTAGTGGAACTAACAAGACTTCTCAACTACTCTCTACCCAGAATCGACCACATCCATGAGGGGAACTCCCTAAATAATATTCTTTTTATTTCTTTCTACTACTGCTCAGGTACATTGGAGCAGCAAAAAAAAAAAAAAAAAAAAGAGGAGGAGCAATATAATGCTTAAAACCCTAGAAGGTAAACTTGAATCCACAACTGGATTTTATATTTATTTGAAAGTAATGGATGAATGCATGGCTTGGCAAGGCAAACGCATCGTTTCAAAATATTCCCCCACCTCCACCCCCACTACCCCCTCATCGGGCTGGCTGGCGATTTCACAGTCACAACTCCAAAACTCGGAGGCGACCGACGCCGGTGACGACGATGGGTCACCTCGGAACTGGGTGAAAGGGTGCCCGCCACCGGGACCGCCGTCTGGTCCAATGACGGAGGAGAACGTGCATCAGCCGCGCGTTGTGAAATCGTGAAATCCGGGGTGGGCGCCGGCCGGAACGCCGCGGGGGCGGGAGCACCGCCGGGCGGGCCCGCGGGGGGCGCCGGGCTCGGGCCCCGCCGGCCTCGAGGCCCCCCGGCCCCCGCCTCGCTCCCCGCGCCTGCGCGGACCAGCTGGGCTCCCGGGCGGCCGCCGCCTCCGCCACCACACCACCCCGGCGGGCCGCAGGAAGTTTGGAAGCGGGTGCGCGAGGCGACGACGGGATTGCAGCTGGGCTGAGGGCGGGAGGCGGCCTCACGCCCCGCAACCCCCCGCCCCCGCCCCCGCCACTCACTTGGTACTCGATCTCCAGCGAGGCCTTCGGGGGCATCGGCTGGTAGAAACACTCCTTCAGGCCGGCCGGCAGGGTAAACGTGAAGTCGCTGTCGAGGGAGGGCGCGAAGCCCGCCGCCCCCGGCGGCAGCAGCACGGCGGCCAGAGCGCTCAGGAGCAGCGCCGGCCGGGGCGGCCAGGTCCCGGCGCCCATCCCGCTCGGGGGAGAGCTCGGGGCGCACGTGGCGTGGGGTAATGGGCGTCCCGGCTCCGCTAGCCCCTCTCTGGGCGCCTTCGTGGCGCTGGTGGTGGTGGTGGTGCGAGGGGGAGGACCCCGCGAGCAACTCGAGGTGACGGCCGCACAGCGGCCAGAGCTCCGTCTGAGAGGAAACGCCTGCCTCAGAGGGCTACGAGCTGAAGGCGGGGCCGGCAGGGTCTTTCCGCACCCTCCTCGCCGCCTCTCAGCGCTCTCGGGCGGGGAGGGAGCTCCGGCCGCTCCCCAGCCCGACGGGCCGCAGGTTCCCAGGGCTTCCCCTACCCAATGGGCGTCGTGGCGGCGATTGTGGGAAATGTAGTTCCCGGCGAGCGGGCTCCGACGCGCCCGTGCACCGCGCTCCCCAGCAGGCCCCGCGCCGCCGCCCGGACGCCCAAGGAGCCTGCGCAGAGGGCGGGGCCTGGGCGGGGCGGGGGCGGGGCCCGGGCGTCCCCCAACGGCTCCCGCGGCCGTTCGAACTCGCCGCTGCTCGGGGGTTCGCTGTTCCCACGCGTGGTGTCTGATGCTTCCACGCCCGGGGCCAGGAGGCGGTCCAAGGCTTCCAGGCGCTGGCGAGAGCGCGGCGTGCGCCATCGTCAGCTGGATCTTTTGCCCAGGCTCCGAGTTGGGTGGTGAGCCGCTTGTCCCTGGGAGGATGGAAACCGACCTTCGTGGGGTGGGGGGAGTTTTGTCCCGTTCTGTTTGGACGCGCTTCCTTTGGTTGTATTTTAGTTGGAGAAAAATCGGAGAGGATGGTTATCTTCTTTTCCATAACCTCTTCCAGAGAACGTGGCATCAGTTCATGATACAGGACTGGCCGCATAAAGTTGTGAACTCCGGGCGGGAGATGTTGTGCTGTGGGTCAGACACGGCCTTGCAAGCAACTGACCCTGTCTGGTCCCCTGAGCAGAGAGCCAGAAGTAAAGCCCTTGAGAACTGATCGGTATAATAACCAACCAAACAAACAAACAAAAAACCTGTAAACTCTTTGCAGAAGGAGGAATCCCCACCTCCCGTCCCGTTAACTTAAGGAAGAATCTTTGTTCTTGGACACGATGGATGCACGTGTACTTAAACAAAAACACTATGTTATTGAATCCAGAGATGACGTGATTCAGGACCTGTTGGGTAGCGCCATATGCTTTTATTCCTCGGCATAGTCAGTGGTGATCGACTTTTTTGGGGGCAGGGGTTAGGAACCCACACCTGGTGGCCTGGGAAACCTTGTACTGCTGGGGGTCCATCCCTGGCCTTCAGATTGCTAAATATACGCACAACCCTCGCTCTTTGAGTTCTCTCCAGCCCCAGAATAGAATTTTAACCTTTGAGGTAGAAGGGGGAGGACTCTTGGACAATGACCCACTAGGAATATAGGAATATTTGAATATCACATGTATTCACTGATATATCAGACGTTGAAGATTCTTACGTTTTAAAATATACAGGAGGGGCTGGAGCACAGCGGGTAGGGCGTTTGCCTTGCATGCTGCCCACCCAGGTTCAGGTTCGATTCCTAGCATCCCACATGGTCCCTTGAGCACCGCCAGGAGTAATTCCTGAGTGCATGAGCCAGGAATAATCCCTGTGCATTGCCGGGTGTGACCCAAAAAGCAATAATAATAATAATAATAATTAAATAAAATATACAGGAGAGTCTAGACAGAAAACCTAGTTCTGTGAAAACAGCATGGAATGGCAATTTAGAATTTTGCTTCAATATCCATGATCTGTTTTATTTTTGCTGGCCTGTAGAGAGAGAGTTGTCAAAAAGATAAAGCAGACTGGGGACCTGATACATTGCCTTTTGTCTGGGAGAGTTTCTCACTTAAAATAGAAGCTGATTTGTGGAGCCAAAAAGGGAAAGAGGTTAGGAAGTTTATTTTCTAAGATTCCATACCATCTCATTTAATTTTTTGCTACAGTTCATATAGTAAGATGAGAACTTTCTTTTTAATCTGTCTTTATCTTAGAAATTTGAGGTGGAATATAATTTTTCACACTGTATTATCTGGATGAGGGGAAGGAAGGGTATTTAGTAATTATGACTTACTCGTTTTTTTTTCTCTTTTTGGGTCACACCCGGGGATGCACAGGGGTTACTCCTGGCTATGCACTGAGGAATTATTCCTGGCAGTGCTCGGGGGACCATACGGGATGCTGAGAATCGAACCTGGGTTGGCCGCATGCAAGGCAAACTCCCTACCCGCTGTGCTATCTCTCCAGCCCCATGACTTATTCAATGAAAATGTCGAGCTACTGATAATACACCTCTCCGACAGCCTGGCAAGCTACCTCCCGCCCACACAGCAGAGCCTGGCAAGCTCCCGTGGTGTATTCAATATGCCAAAAACAGTAACAAGTCTCACAATGGAGACATTACTGGTGCTTGTTCGAGCAAATGGATGAACAACGGGAGGACAGTGCTACAGTGCTACTGTTAATACACAGGGCTCCTGACCTTTTTTTTTTTTAATTTTAAAACCTTTTTTTAAATGCATGGTTTACAAAATTGTTCATAATATAGTTGTTTCGGACATTCATTGTTACGACACCAGTCCCACCACCAGTGTGACCTTCCCTCCACCATTGTCCCCAGTTTCCTATCCATCTCCAAGCCTACCCCCTTGACAGGCACAAAATTATTTTATATTGCTTGTTAGAACAAAATGGTAAGTGGAATTATGAAAAAAATAATTCAGTAAAAGAAAGCTTGAAAATTATTGTATATCACAATGGGATTATTAAAGCCACTGAGGATTTACTGAGCTGTTATTGCCATCTGTTACTGCTTTTACTTTATTGAATCTAGCTGGCTTCTATGCTACTTTCCCATCTAATTTGCTTTCTTCCTTCTGGACTATCACTATAATGGAATTTGGAGGTGTAGTTCCAGAAACTCCAGGATCTGTCAAACTGGGATGATTCTCTGATTACCCCCCTCTTACAGAACCCCAGAGATTTTAGCCCAAAGACAGGTGTACCCATGAATTTCATCAGCTTGGCTTGACATCTCTTCAGAGATTAGTTGTGAAGCTGGGCCATTGTTTAGATGGCCAGAGTCTGTCTGCTGGGGCTTTCAACAGTAGAGGCAAAGGTAGACTGACAACCCACCCACTCCAAGACCCCAGAGTTTTCAGCCCCAAAACTGGTGTCCCTTGGGGCTGGAGTGAAAGCACAGCAGGTAGGGCGTTTGCCTTGCAAGCAGCCAACCCGGGTTCGATTCCCAGCATCCCATATGGTCTCCCGAGCACCGTCAGGAGTAATTCCTGAGTGCAGAGCCAGGAGTAACTCCTGAGCATCGCCGGGTGTGACCCAAAGAGAAAAAAAAGAAAAACTGGTGTCCCTGGGAGTTTCTTTGGTTTAGCATCTCTGCAGAGATGAGTCATGAAGCGGTGAAGTTGGACCAGTTTGTATGGCAACTGTTGTGGGGTATGGGTATGACTGTGGGGCTTAGGAGGGGTAGGGATCCTCTCCCAAGGGCAGAGCTCCTGACCTTTTAAGAGCTTGAGATGTGTTCAAAATTCCAGAAGGATGAGTGAAAGATGATACAGTAACAAAGGTAAATGTTATCTGAAAATCAATATTAACTTTAAATTACAGAAAGCTCTACAGCTGTAGTAGTGATTATAAAAGCCCCAGTTTTATTGTATTAAAGTAGAAGTTTTAATATAATTATAGGTCTTAGTTTGGGGGAGATTATTTGGGCCAAAGCAGTATTCAGGGCTTACTCCTGGCTCTGAAGTGACCAATAGTGGTGCTTGGGGTCAGAAGTGACCCCTGATGGTGCTTGGGGGACATGCGATTCAAAGATAGAAATTATTTATATGTTTTCTATCAGGATTTTAGCTGCAAAGATATTTAGTAGAGATTCACGATGTTAAATAGTTTAAGAGCCAAAGGCTTCATAAATTTCTAAATTAACCTCCCATCATTTTAATCTCTGGAGTTTTGATGTTAATTTGTTTTTAAAAGTTTACAACCATTGTGAGGGAAAGTGATCATCTTTATCTGTTCATAAATTGCCTTTAAAAATATAAATGAATGTTGGGGGCTAGACAGTGCATGAAGGGGTTAAGTACTTGCTTGTATGTGGCCGAGCTGAGTTAGATTCCCACTCCAACTTCACAAACCACTAGGAGTAATTCTTGAGCAGCTTTGTGTGGCCCAAAATCTCAAACAGAAGAGAAGAGAATATAAATGACTGTAATGATACAGACTTTATCAAATATCCAGAGCCAGTAATGTGATTGATGATGGAAGTTAAAACACCTCATACTGAAATTGAGCTGTAAAACTTGAGAATTGCAGTTTGACATAAGAGTCTTTGGATTCTAATAACCCAGGTTCAAATCTTGGGTTCACCATTGGCAGTTTGTGTGACTCTGTGTATGTTTTTTTCGTGTGTGTGTTTTTGATTTTGGGTTTTTTAGGCCACACCTGGCAGTACTCAGAGCTTACCCCTGAGGATCACTCCTCAGTGATCACTTACTCAGGGATCACTCCTGGCAGGCTCAGAGGAACATGTGGTGTTCTGGGGATCTTACCCTGGTCACTCTTGTGCAAGGCAAATCCCCTACACATTGTACTATCTCTCTGGCCCACTTTGAGTAAGTTCTTTAATTGTCTTAATTTTTAATGTGGAATAAAAATATTTACTTCACAGCATTGTTTGGGGATTAAATGTGCTTTGAAAGAGGGAACAGTAGTAACCAATCAAACTTTTTGTTACGGCTTTGAGCTACAGAGAAATTTGTTGTCACTGTATTTTATTTTATTTTAAATAACTATGAAAGATTTCTGAACATTTGATCTAGAGAAATAAATTCTGTTAGTGTGAAAATATTTTGATCGCCACCAAGAATTCTTTCAGGCAAGGTACAAGAATTTTTTTTTTTTTTTAAGAAATGGAATCTAGTTCATCAAACTTATATAACAAAGACAATGAAGAAGAAAGTTTGCTTGCAAATGTTGCTTCCTTAAGACATGAACTGAAGAGAACAGAATGGAGTTTGCAGAATGTGGGAGAAGAGTTATACAGGTAAATTAAATCACATAGAATTCATATGACTTTAATGCAAAGTCTATGAATTTTATTTTTTGTTTTTGACAGTGTTTGATATGTCTTTAGAATAGGAAATAATTTTCTATAATTTTGAATATGACTCAGTTTAAGAAAAAATAGAATTAGAGAAGCAGTTAAATATTATTAGAATATCTTTATTTATTTATTTATTTATTTATTTTTTGCTTTTTGGGTCA